CGCGGAGATGGGCTACACTGATTCTTCCACTTGGCGTGATTCCCGGTGGCTGTAGGTCGCCTTGGAATTTAGTGTGGGGTTGTTGCACCCATCTTCAGCCCCATTTTCGGACCTCTTGGAAGCCTCCTTGAATTGTGCTTTGTAGTCTTCTCAACCACCATGTCTTTCGTTGACTTGTTTGATCTTTCAGCGTCGGAAACTCTGACATCATGTCCGGAAGCCGGTGTGTCCGCCGGGATGTGATGCACACACCTTGCATGCGACTGCATGAAGTTTCGCTCCGCCCAATGTCACAAGCTTCGTCTGAGTCAAATCTGGATCCAGGCATGGTGACCATGAACAGCGTGCTCGCATCGCTTCAGTCACTCGGAAGCAGTATTTCCTGCCGAAGCTGTATATCATGCAGGGTTTTCAGCTCTGCACCAGAGCTGGCCTTGCAGAGATCCCTGGCCCATGCAGCCGAGGTTGCTCATCAAATGCATCGGCGCCAGCGCGAACATGCTTCTCGCTTGTTCCAACTCGACCCATCCTGAAGCCGACAGACGCTGAGAAGCCTCATGCGTGTGCGCCGAGATGTGTAGCTTCCTTCCAAAGCATACAGAATCCGTTTCGAATGCTCTGCGAACTCTTAGGTCTCAGGTCTTAGGCGAAAAGAGACCGAGAGTGGTCAAGTAAGCTTCTTCATGACTTTTACCGTGACCTTCGTCTCCTTCGGCACCAGACAGGCTCTTTTGGAGCTTTTGCCTCCTCACCTTCGTGCAGTGCGTGGCTGGAGCTCGGGGGTGTTTTCTGCAGGTTTCCATGTGGGCGTGACCTAGCGCACACACGAATTTGCCAAACTCAGTTGTGCTTCAGAGGCACACTTCAGCGTGTGTGCAGGAATGGTGGCCAGCACCCTCTGTCGAGAGTTCATCAGCGACGAGAGCCAGAACGGCGATCTTCGGGAACCTTCGTGGCGATCTCCACACTTTGAAATCCCCTCCCTGTTCCTTTTGCAGTCTCACGATCTCGTGCTTGTGACAGTAGTCCCGCTCAGCCCTCTGTTCAGAACTTGGGGCCAGGAGGAAGTCTTCCGCTTCTATGGCACATTCACCCGCACGCTACTTGGCACCGAAAAATGATCCTGTTCTCTGCCCCAGGCATGTACCCCTCCCATCGAAGTCCAGTTAGTTTCCGTACATCCTGCTGTCCTCGTCTTGGCGAGAACATCAAGGGCTGCAGCCACTGTGGATAGTTATAAAAGTAGCTTTCACGTCGAAGCTCTGACAGCCAGTCCTGTACTTTTTCAGGTTCCTCACCATGTTTGAGATCCTCTTCGCTAACTGGAGTCCAGCTTGCAGAGTTCTCGTGGAGAACATCAGTGTACCCCTGGCAATTTGTGCAGCTTTTGCTGTAGGAGTGTCCACTTGTGTTTGATTTAGGTTTGGCTATTGCTGCCGTGAAGAGCAACTCTTTCATTATTGAGCGTGTTCATGCATGCCCTGCACTCTCGCCTCTTTGATTCGCATCAATACCATGTGGGCGGTTGTCAAAATTATGGTCCCTTTTTGGGTCCTTATTATAATACGGCACCTATTATTTAGGGTGCCCCAACAGGGACCATAATTTTGACAACTACCCATGTAACTAACAACAGGAGTGGTTTTCCATCTTCTTCCTCCTCTACCGATGTGCGGGGAGCTAAGTGCGAAGCAGTGGAGTGTTGAGGATTTTGAGGACACAGCGCGCTCTCTGTTTCAGCAGCTGCTATCGGGTGCGGGTGTCCCAATATGCATGATCAAAACAAGCAGCTGTTGTGCTGGCTTTACAGCGTCTGCTATTGGACTCTGTTGCACGTGATGAGTTTCAACGTGTAAGTGGATATGTGGAGTAGGCCACATAAAGCAGCAGGTTCCCATTGGCCAGGAAGCAACCAGCCCAGTTACCGGCCGCAGCAGCCCACAAAGTTCTGAAGTGTTGAGATTGCAATGCGCCATGGACAGTTTGCCGTGACAGAACTTACGCAAGTTTTGATTGCAGCTAAGGTCCTTGGGTTTGCCGTTCTCAATGCGGCTTGTCAAGATCAGTCTCACAGCAATTCCCTCCAATAGGGGCTGCCTGCTGATCGTTGGATTGGCTAGTGTATTCAGGAGTGTCAATCCCGCTTTTTCCGTTTGTGTTGTCTCCAGCTCTCTGCCTCTCTCCTGTCTCTCCCTCTCTCTCCGCGTACTCTCTGCCTGTCTTGATCCCTCTTCATTTTCGCTTGTGTTTCTGGGCGTTCCGAGGTCGTAAATGCGGTGTTCGTGCAGCAACTCGTCTGCAGTGTGCATTGCTCATGTCTTCATCGGGCGATGAAATGCTTGTGGTTGTGCAAGGATGTGCGGCGCCAGCCTTCGTAAGTGTTCGCGAGAGACGGCAAAGCCCATGCAGGCAGACCATGAAAACGGCGAGCTCGGACGAAGAACTGGCGTTCAAGCAGAAGGAGCGCGACGTGGCGCTCTACACTCGCAAGGCCTTTGGCTGAACCGGGATGCGATAGGAGCATCTGCTGGGACTGTCACTCACAACCTACCAGGGACCTTCCAGCAACAGGACCAAACGCATGTTCCAAACGATGATGGCGACTGTGAAGAAGATCGCGATGGTGACGACTCAGTGATGGCGATGATGACCAAGATGATCGGGAAGACCACGGGGATGATAGTGACGATGCGACGCTCGTGACGGTGCGGCTGCGGTGACGATGACCGTGGTGGGAGGATGGTAGTGCTGGTGATCTCAGCCTCATAGCGAACATAATCAACTTCACTTCACTTCACTTCACTTCACTTCACTTCACTTCACGTCACGTCACGTCACGTCACGTCACGTCACGTCACGTCACGTCACGTCACGTCACGTCACGTCACGTCACGTCACGTCCCGTCCCGTCCCGTCCCGTCCCGTCCCGTCCCGTCCCGTCACGTCACGTCACGTCACGTCACGTCACGTCACGTCACTTCACTTCACTTCACTTCACTTCACTTCACTTCACTTCACTTCATTGGTGCGAAGTTAGAGAGACGGTGACAAGCCCCAGAGTAACTCGAGAGGGTGCTGAATATGATGTTGATGAAGAGGAGGAGGACCAGGAAAGTGGGCCGTAGGAGCAAGGCAGAGGAGGACACGTGTATATGCACGTAAAATCGGCGTAAACGACAGACTTCCTTGAGGTACTTCCTGCCAATGGAATTGCCAGGATCAGACCCGCAGACGAGTTACGGGACGTGAGAATGTCTGAGTTCTTGTGATTTTCGCGTGCAGAAACGTGTCTACAACAGTGTATCTGCAGCTGTTAGTTGTTATTCCTTCTTCATTTTTCACACTGTCAATCACTGTCACTATCATGGTGGCTGAGCCGACCGCTGCACGTCGTCAGATCGTCAACGTTTCTATGGCTGTTGTATTCATACGAGTTGACCTCCAGTTAAGCTTTTTTTCTCGTGATGGCATTAGTACCGGTCACGACCTAGTCCAGCACAGAACAGGAAGCCCCGATGGCAATCAGGTTCTTCCGAACTTCTCCGAAGCACTTGTTGTGTCCCGTGCATCGTCTTGGTCTTGTTGCACAGCTGGTTTGTCGAGGAAGGGGGCGGCGGGGAAGACAGTTCACGCCAGGAGACATAGCAACTTCACAAGACACGATAATCGTGCCGGTAGTGGTGATGAAGATCAACGTCCTTTGGCCAAGTGACTCTTTTTGCGGCCGCTGTCTGTGGTTAGGACGTGGCACAGTGTAATGGTGCTTCCCATGCCGGACGCCACTGCGGTCATCGCGAGTGCTAACTGCTTGTTTTTCCCTGTGGGGTTCTTGTGTTTCGAGCGGTGATATTTCTCTCGTCCTCCTGGAATTTGTTGTGCGCTTCCTTGCTTTTGTATATAGGTCTGATCGTTTTCATGATTGCGGTAATGAAATCCCGACCGGGCATTGCGAAAATCCCCTTACGTGGCCCGGCAACCGAACATCCGGCTAAAGTGAAGGGCTGGGCTTTGTTCGTCAGATGAGCACTGCCAAGCAGGAGAGAGATGAGACGTCCTTCGCACACCCAATCCGGCCCGAACGTGTAATTCACCAATCGTTACCTCGATCGGTACCCATCGTCACCCACTCATGGTCAGAGGAGTGTTGAAAAGGCTACGGAAAGACTGAGCACAGTATATAATTGCTTAGTTCGCTTCGTTCCTCAATCCCAAAGGCCCTATGTCATGTGCCTCCTGCTGTGTCTCACTGTTTGTCCAGTGCTCGTGCCCTATGTACCGCTTGTCTCGCAGATTCTGTGTGACATGTTGTGTGACATGTTGTGGTGTTCAGGTTTGGAGGTGTCGTGTGCTGGGCGCCACGCCCGGCATCATGTGCCAATTTAGCCCTATTAGGGCTGATCGCGATGATGACTATGATGGCTCTCTTCCTCTCCTCTGTTTGTATGTAGGAGCAAGTGCATGCATACTTGTAACTGGAAGTTGTACGTGCAAGCAACTTGTCTCCGAAGGTGAAGAAGCTGTTTCAGTCGCTCCGCAGCACTCGGGCTCTGCACGAGTAATTTGTCGTGGAGCTTCGAAGACAAAGGAAGTGTAGACAAAGGAAGTGTAGTCTTTCACTACGACGGTTGGAGTGCAAGGGCATTTTAGTTACTTGTGACTCTCACGGCCACGATTCCAGCAGCTGCAGACCGATCGGGGTTTCAGGTCATAGGTTTAGGGGTTTAGGCTGTGAGATCCAGCTTGCAGCAGTACCGGCATGCATGGGCAAATGCCGTGAACCCTGTTGGCGGCAGAGACTTTCCCGTCGAATGAACACCATGTTGACGAAGGATTCCCCATGCGAGGTAGCACGGAGGTCGTTCGCGCCAGAAGACCGTCACCTCCACTCGGCTTTGAGAGCATTTAAGTTTGAGCAACCAACCATACAGCTGAAAGCCATTCTGCTCTTCATAAGCGCCAGACTAAGGAGTATGGATTCGTCTGGCGACGGTAGTATCAACAAGGAGGCCTGGCTCCAAGTCCCAAAGTCAAAGTATGACGTTCTCTTTTCAGTCAGCCGAGCTTTGAGAAGTCCCGGCCGTGTGAGCCATCGTTTGCTTGTGCAAGATGTGTTTTGTGCAGCTGCGGCACTGTGAACTTGAAGTTCCGAACCCCCCACTCTGCTTCTGCGTGGGCGCTGAGTCACCCATACCAATGTGCTCAGGCATTCAGCATGACGAACAAGATGTGTGAGGGTGGATGGTGCCTGCGGTGTGGATGACGATGACGATAGCTAAGAAAACACGCACCCCAGGCATGTTTCCTAGAGGCGTAATAGCTGTCAGGTTAGGACAAGTCCAAGACAGTACAGCCGAACATTTGGCTCAAGGAAAACAATGGTAATTGCATTGCTTGTTGTACATCCTTGCCAGAACGCTTGTGTCTCTTGTGTTCTTCTGGCTAACAGCCTCAGCTCATAGATCGCTGTTTAAACAAGTCTGTGGCTAGGTGAGTCTGGAGCCTCTACCTGGGCCATAGCCCTCTAACACTGTCACTCCATCGCACTTGGTGTAGAGCTTGGAATCGCTGAGAGTAGGTCCTGCAAGCGACCTGCCGCTGCACTGTGTTAGCTCCCTGCGTAAACCAGAGCCAAGCCGCCAGGTAGAGCACTCCATATCCCGAGCTTCCCAACTTCCAAATTTTTAGATTGCGCATGCCCACGGCAGAAGCGTATTTTACGACTTTCTGATACTTCACGACTGGGTCATCAATCTTTTCTACAACATCAGAATCTGGATACTTGAGAAGTTCTTTCCAACGTACCTTCACAACCGACGAAGGTGGAACAGAACGAGAACGCGTTGGGGAAGGTTTCTTCGCAAGCCCATTGACTCGTGGTATCGCACATCCTTCTTGCTATACCAACTACATCAGGTTCACGGCTTTACCCAGCTGCGCGACGCAGACGACAAGAGAGACCTCGGAATACCTCGGTACTTCCCGTGATCAAAAGGTTGTCGCTGCTTGCTTCTTCGCCGCGCTCAGCGAGGTCGTTGCGTCGCAATTGGGTTCCGCGGTAACCTGTTGGCATCCCGCCTCTGGCTAACCGTGAAACGCACCACAACTTCCAGACATCCAAATCCGAGTTTGGGCTGAGCCAAAGGCGTATTCAGCATCGCGCCTTCAATCAAAGATTGTGATTACAACCCATGCACTTCTTCGGAGGCCCGTTCACGGTTTAGGAAGGCCTAGGGCTTTGTGCGAAAATTTCTCGAGCCTTACTTGTGTTCTCGTGTGTAGTGTGTACCAAGTATAGAAGAAAAAGTAAGTGCACGAACACAGCCCTGTTGACTCAAGCCAAAGTGGTTTGTTTCGCTTCGCATGGTAGCGGAGCGGCCTGGTCAGTGAGGGGCCAAAGCCGCAGCGGATCAACACCGCCCTGGTCGCGTCAGTAGCGACAGAGCGCGGGATACCGCCTACAAGTTTACAAGCCCGTGACTGCGGAGGAGGCGGTTGAACAAAAGGGTTCTTGTGTTGAGCCGCATGGGAAGCGGCGAGGTTCCCGACAGCAACGGAGAAACCGGCAAGAGAGAAGGCAAAGGCCGCCACCAGGGCCCTGGTAAAAGTCACGTGTGGACGTGTGAAACTGGATTCGGTAAGGATAAAGCTGATGTATACCGATAACACATCATCCACGAGAGGATCTCAGATGGCATCAATTTCCATAGCCAATACCACCACTAGCACAGCCATTGCCATATCGCGAACAGGCAAACCAGAAGGGTTGGGGTTAATAGGGAACTGCTGGCGTTTCACCCAAACAGTGCGAAGCACAGACAGACCCAGGAGGGTACACCGTTGTGCCACAGCATCCGACAATATCGGCAACAAAGACAGGCACGCACACCCAAGCAAGTCGCTATGACCCAATCACCACCCGTCTGGCACGTTTTCACATGTTTTCCGTGCATTTCCATACGGTTTCGCATGTTTTGGATCTTTTTGTGCATGTTGGAGCATGCTTGGAATGTCTCCGACTGCATTTTGGCGTTTTCAAGCATTTGGGGCGTGTTCTGGTCATTTTGCAAATATTTCGACATTGTGTGCCTCTGAATAATTCCGGGTATAATACTTAAGGCATTAAAAGTTCGACAAAAAACGGCCAAAATCCGTTGTACTTTATATTCCGGTTACGTGATTGACAGGAAAAGCCAGTGGTCGTGAGCGATTCTACTTTATGGCTTAGGGCTTAGGGCTCTTCCAAATTAGGGCGGGGCTTAGGTTTTTCCCAAGGCGTTGGCATGCTTCCACTGCCACCAGCAATCCTAGTACAAGATTCACTCAGCTGCATTCAGCATAAGAGATGCAACCACATCAGTACTGATGACTGCCGCTTGTTGCGCGAACTAGGCTTTAAACTCCAGTAGCCGTGGACTTTTGCACATACAACCATCCGTACAGGCTTAAGTGAGTGCTTGGACATGTCCTGAAGGGGGGAGCTAGGAAAACACGCGCCCCCGGGCATGTCTCCATGTTTCCCATGGGCGTAACAAGTGTCAGGGAAGGACAAGCCAAAGACAGTACAACCGAACATTTGATTGGTTCAAGGAAAACAAGCATGATTGCATTGCTTGTTGTACTTCCTTGCTAGAACGCTTGTGTCTCTTGTGTTCTTCTACAATGATGGCAATTCTGGTGATGATTGTTATGGCGATGACGATAATGACGACGAGGATGACAGTGTCGATGCTGAAGATGGGGAGGATTGATGTTATTCCCCTGCCTCTGCCTCTTCTTCTTCGTCTTCTGCTTCTTCTTGTCATCGTAGTCGTCGTGCTGTTTGTGTGCATTCAGCCCTCAAGCTGAAGCCATCGTCACCATCTGCAGCAGCATACGGAACCATGGCTAGCGGTGGGCGAGTTCGTGTACTTTGCGCAAGCTCTCTGACTTTCACACTCGGTTGTTTCGAGCTTGGTGCCGCAACTGGCCTCAAGCACGGCCAGGAGTTTGCCAAGCTTGTCAACTCGCCAATGCTCAAGTTCTGGATGGGGCAGCTTGAGTTCCTTGGTGCACATGCCAGATGTTGTGCTGCGACGGTCATCAGTGAGCTCTCATACTTGAATGACATGGCCAATAAAATCGGTTGAGATATTGGTGCATGTCTTCGTTGGTTTCTGTATGGCAAGATTTTGGCCAAGGTTGGAGTACCATGATTTGATGAGCCTCTTCGAGTTCCTGGATAATGGAGACGGTGAAATCACCTTGTTGCTTGTCCAACCATGGCCGCGGTAGCTTGCAAAGCCTGGCTCCAGATTTTCCTTCGAGCACGGAGGGCATTCATTGCTTGACTTAAGGTTTCTCCACGTTGAAGTTGTGTAATAGATCCAGAAAACATCAAAGTGGCTCACTGAAATGCACGGACTGTCCGAACTAGTAGCGCTGATGGTGCTAACGTCCGAGGATGGAATTCATCGAAGGAGCAGCGCGGCTCCGGGGTGGTGCGTCGCTTGGGCAGAAGAGATTACAACCGTGGTGGGTAGCAAATTTGAATTCAGGCGACATCTATCTGCTATTGTAAGTGATGCATGCTAAATATTACACAAGGCTATAGAAGATTATAGAAGGTTACTATCTGACGATGATAACAGAATGCTTCGTACAAAAAGGCATACGAATACATATCATCGTAGTTTCTGCAGTACATTGTAATAGAAATGTGTGCTCAGTCTGCGGAGAGGAAGATTGCATGAGAGATCCTCATTAAGACTCGGGGTGGCCATTTCACGGATATGCATGACATATGTTTTGACGTTTCCGCTTCCATGGAAGCTAAAAAATAGCAGTGCTCAGCATGCAGGAAAGCCTTGGACATCTGGCGCATTGAGACGAAGCTGGAGGCAGACGTGTGGGTCAAGTGTCCTTCTGGTGTCCTCCGAGGGTGGTCTGACTATTATCTGTTTTGCGAATTCTCGTTCTTACAATTCTTGCCGGCGCTATTAGAGGGTGGAAAGGCCGGCGGGGTTGGAAACACATATTCTATTTGCCTTTCTCTGCTACTAAGGGTTCGCGGCTTCAGCTATTCTGAAGCGACATCCGACATCCGGCACACATGTGGAACTTCTGTTGTAAGGTTCGCCCAGCCCTGCCATAGGCTCGCGAATACCCATTGCGCGATGCCACAGATTCTTCTACTGTGCGGCCATGCTTTTATCCTTTCAGTCTCCTTGACAGGTCCTTTTCGCAGAGGTGTTGGGCGCCGTGAGAGGCGACAAGGACGTGCAGCATGTTTTTGAGAATTCTACGTGCCCTGGACTATAAGTGGCTTTGGGTACATCGTGATCCTTCAGAGCCACTTTTTTGTGCTGCGCCGTACATCCAGCTGTCGAGCGCATCTGGTTGACAAAGCTACAGAGCTTCGAATTGCTATCTTGCGGCGTACCGAGAAGGGACCACCCAACATGTGTTGCGTCGAATTCAATGCAGCTGTGAGGGTGAAGGGCTATTGCGCCTGTGACCTTAAAACAAAAGTTTAGTGGTCCGTTCAGCCGCCCGAGTCCGAGCACAACATAAGTACCAAGTAGTGTGATGCCAAGTAGACACTTGGACGGGGTAAACGTGGATCTGGATGTAAGAGCCCCCAAAAGGTACCAGCACATCAAGGCCACGGACGATCGGCGTCGGCAATCAATGTCCGAGTCGAACCCGCCCGATCTCGACGAGATAAGGCCAGGCCCTTCGGCCCTTGTCTTCTGGGAGCTTCGAGCACACACACGAACAAAGGGTCACGTGGGGATGCGTCCTGAGCGCCAGACACACGTGTTCCACAACACCGACGAGAAGCGCAACCAGCCCTATCCCTGTCCGCGAAGTTTAACACAAGCTCCCTGGCTGCGCAAAGGGGCGAAGGGTGCAATAGGTGCAAACGGTGGAGAGCGTCCCGAGAGTCTAGATAAAAGTGACCCTCGCCGCAAGGACAAGTCGGGGCTAAAGCGCCCTCTGAGGGCCAGTCCCACCCTACAGTGGCCCTACAGGCCTAGGCGGCTTGGGACTGCCTACAGCTACTAAACTCTCAGAGCGGTTTCGGCTTGCTTACTGAATGGGACTGGCCGGGAACGTTTCACGCAGTTGTGCCAGGATTCGTGCCTGTATTCACCAGGCGGCAGCGAGATACTCAACGGAATCCTTGCACTGCTGCAACTCTTGAACATCTGCGCGATGGCCCGTGGGTTCTGCTCAGAAGAATGCTGTGGCAGATGGCACCATTCGATTATGGTGTGTTTTAGAGGCCGCATATTTTCCTTCCTTGTCGAGAGCTTGGTTGCCAGCTCTGGGCTACAGTCCTGTCATGAGGAATCCGAGACTTTGGTGGTTCCATCGAAGGTGTTTTTTCCGCTACCAAGTCTCCGACCGGCAGATGTGCGAAAGTGCGGCTGCAGCCGTGCAGTTCCGGTTTTTTGTGCATCGCAGCCGGCTCAACGTTGAAGACGTCGTGCCCTCCACGCAGAAGACCGCACTTGCAGTTTTCAAGCCGGGTCAAGCGCAGCTCCAAAGTTGTCAAGCCAAAGCACAACCCCGACGCAGGCAAAGCGGCTAAGCGAAAGGAGGGTATGGAATGTGGCTTATGAATCCGATAATGATAACTCTGACAATAACCGTGACAGTAAGCTGATTGAGCTGCGTAGCATTTTCAGCCAGGGCCCGTGGCTAATTTCGTGGAGTCCGGTTCCGGGAAATACTACGGGATCGGGATGCGGTTGAAGACTTCGCCGAGGGCAGCGCTCGCGGGGAAAAGGTCAATAGCGAACCACACGTATTCCGCCATTGGCTGCTTTGCCATAGGCCAGAGGCTTTGATGAAGCTGCGTCGAGGGACGGACAGGAAGGGGTGGGACTATATAGATTGGATGGGCCCATGAACCAGAATTTCAATTAACTAACCGGCCACCTGCATGCTGTTCTCGGTTCTGCCAGGTCACGAGGCCGCGGACACCCCTCGAAGGCTACTGAGAGGCCAGGATTTGCAGAGGCTCGGCATGAAGCCGTCCTTGCAAGTCTTCGGAAAGGCAGCTGCAGGGAGAACCGGGTTCCCATACTTGGACTTCTTATCATACAAGCCAGAATCTCGTATGACCCTGAAAAGTAGGGCGAGTTGGGTTTGGATAATTCGGTAAATTGAAGCCATCTTCCCGTCATTGTCTTAGCTTCCGATCGGCTTTTGCTTGGCGAGTTTGATCGCCACAGGAGCGCCCAGGAGCCCTTCCTTTAGTCCGAGCTCTCTGAAATAATCGAGACGTTTGCGGATATTGCACTGCAGGCCATGTATGGGAGGCCGCGGTCATGGGCATGCAGAGTTGATCCTAATGCTTTTGCTTCAAGTCGAGAGTCTAGCTGCAGAAGGCCGGCCTCCCGAACAGGGTCGCGTAAAGCCTCGCCACCACTAGACAATGTTCACCAAGCTGAGACAGCTGAGTGTCACCCACTTTCTCTGGCTGATCAGCTCTGGACTCTGCGATGTCTGCTTTGTGTACCAACGGAACATCGCCGGTGTCCTTTCGCCAGCGCTGCGGCACTTGCATGCCTCGAAAATACCACGGCAGCCCCAAAGGCCTTGTGTTGCTTCCGGTCTGCTTTGTCTGGGACCGGAATGTTGTAATCTGCCCGGGACAGGGACAGCAGTGTCAGCGCAGTATCTTGCAGAAGTTGGTATGCTTTTGTAATGGCTCGGCAGGGGCATACTGCTCGTCTGCTCGGGGCTCGTCAGTTTAGGTTTTTTCCAAGTTTCAGAATGTCGCAATCGTGCTGTGCACATCGTCTTGCCCCCAGTCCTGTGCATGTCCCCCTCCCGCACTCGTACTCTTGCTATAGTGCCGTGCATACTTTGGGCGCGTTGGCGTGTGTGACGGGAAGGGTCACGAAGCGGCTCGCAGACTTCTTGCTTCTTTCTCTTCTCAGAAGTTAAGTGGCCTTTAGGGTTCTGGGTATATTATACTATAATACTGTACTTAACTCTTGAAGTTGCGTGCTCGTGTACAGTATCACTGCCTCCTCCTAGCACCAGAATAGCTGTAAATCAGAACAGGGGCTGGAGCACCTGCTGGACTGCCTTTGTTTTCACTGCTGGAAACTTGCTGTAGTCCTTTGTAGCAGTGATTTGCGGCATAGCGAGTGTGTGACTTGACACCTGCAATGCAGAGTCATCGACGATGCCAAGCGGGAGCCCAAAATACTATAACTAAAAAAGGAACTCCCCACAAAAATAGTAAACCCTAAACCCTAAA